AATATCTGAGAGTTTTGTGGCTTACAATGGCCTTTTCCTATTTGATAGCCATGCTGGTCCTTTTCTTCTCTGCCAAAATACTCTTTGATCTTAAGCTATCCCTTGATCTCCAGGAGGATAAGCTAAGGTCTCTAATTCAGTCCCCAAATGTAATTCATGATCAACTTAAGGCAGCTTCTCTTGCTTTTGGCCAGTAATTGTCTTAAAGGTGCGCGTTCAACCCATTTCTACCCAAATGAGATGTTTATGGAAGTCTGCTTGAGGGGTGCAGTGAAACATCTCTATGTGAATAACGTAAGAAACACCCCCATGTGAATGAAGAAGGAATGAAACACATCTCTGTGTGAAAGAGGACTGAAAAGGGCAAAGAGAAAACTGCTTCTCCTTCCCGGGCTGGCCTGTCTTCGTGGCATAGCTCTAGGTATGGCAACATTTTATGACCCTAAGGGGAAAGCTAAGAGAATCCTGGAGATTTTAACCCTGATATCGCTGAGCTGATAAACTAATGCCACCAACTGCCTCCTACAGAACTTCATTACGTGCTAAAAATTAATCATTATCTGTTGAAGCTACTGTGTGTAGACTTCCTGACCCATGTAATGATACACATGTCTAACAAATACTACAGCATAAGCATCATTCCCTTAAGGATAACTCCATTGGGAATGAGGGAAAGAAGCAAGGAAACTTCTTCCTATGCCACATTGCAGTCAGGTGCATTGGGTCTCTATTATAAGATTTTATTTTATTTATTTGACAGAGAGAGAGAGAGACAGCTAGAGAGGGAACACAAGCAGGGGGAGTGGGAGAGGGAGAAGCAGGCTTCCTGCCGAGCAGGGAGCCCGATGCGGGGCTCGATCCCAGGACCCTGGGATCATGACCTGAGCCGAAGGCAGATGCTTAACGACTGAGCCACCCAGGCGCCCCGGGTCTCTATTATATTAGTACTGCCTGGTAGTATCAGGACAAAAACTGAGCTCTGTATGATTTCCTATTAATTATGGCTACCTTCACACACAAGGTCAGAACCTGAGTATGCAGTTGGTCATACGGTCAAGACGGTGCCACTTGGGTATTAATGAAGCAAAGTGGGTGGTTTTGACAAACTAAGTGTATGAGGGTCTTTCTGATTCTCCCTACCTGAGAAGATTTTTCTTTTATTCCATCCATAACACTAATCTGTGAAGAGCTATGTGATAAAAGATAACATTATCCAAATATGCAATCAGGCTATAATTAACCTGAAATGACAATTATAAATAACACTGTGTCCCAGAGTTTCCAAAAAACCTGACATACACAGTTTTTGGGTATGTTGAAGCACTTCCAAGAAAAGTAAAAAATGAGAAATCTTTTAGAAGTCTTCAATTAAAATGTGTTTTAGTAAAAATGACTTTCATTATGTGTTTTGGTGCATATTACTAGAAAACATTTGTCCCTATCTTCACACCTCTAATTGTTTTTACTACCAATTACAGCTTTTCAGAATTAAGACTTTCTGCTTGGGACAACCAAGTTGGTCATTTGAAATGTGGAGAAAATACTATGTATGAGGTTTGTGTACTGAAGAAAACAGATCTCCACAGCAGGATTCCAACGTAGGGATCTCGGGTCGTGCTATCACCTCTCAGACCGGTGGGAAGCACCAGGCTGGATTTCTCCTCTTTTCCCCTTTCCTTTCTCCCAGATTCTTTCTGTTTCTTTTTTTTTTTAAATCCATGCGTCCCCCGCACCCCCCCCCCCACTCCTTACACCTCACATACTTTCTGGGTTTAGGAAGTTGGGATTATTGTTTTAGTGAGAGAAATGCCCTTCTTTTGGTATTCAAATGATATGATAGAGTGCAAAAAACTTATCATATATTCTGTTTATGTCTTTTTCAAACCGAAGCAAAATTTCAAACCAACTACTGATCTATCTATGCTCTGGCCATGGGTAAAGTTGGGCAATTATAAAAATCTATTAAAAAGGTAGGTATTAGGAGAAAAACAACACAATAGACATAATGCTGTCACTTTATGTGGAAGAATAAGCAGCCACCGGGGCGCCTGGGTGGCTCAGTCGTTAAGCGTCTGCCTTCGGCTCAGGTCATGATCCCAGGGTCCTGGGTTCGAGCCCTGCATCGGGCTCCTTGCTCTGCAGGGAACCCTGCTTCTCCCTCTCCCTCTCCCCCTGCTTGTGTTCCCTCTCTCGCTCTGTCTCTCTCTGTTAAATAAATAAATAAAATCTTTAAAAAAAAAAAAAAAGAATAAGCAGCCACCTTTGTCAACTCAGGTATAGAAATGATCTGATAGGCTAAGCAAAATGGGTGGGGCCTTTATTCACTTCCTACAAGTAGGCTCACACACTTAAAGATGCCATGATTAACAATCGAAATAATAATTTGATTTAAATTATACTTTATAAAGGCAGGGGACATATTTTCTTGTTCAATAGAGTATCTCAAGTACACAATACTGCCCTGCCCCTCATACATAGCAGGTGTTCATTAAAGGACATAAATTTGACATTATCTCATACCCATGAGTTGCACATAGATCAATCATTAATATTATAGAAATGGCACCCAAGCTAGTTCAACAGGAAAAGGCAACCACAGTTAACACCTGCTTCTCAGAGAGCTTCAAAAATCACACTTTCATTGTCAGGTATCAAGGTGTCATTCAGATCCTTCTGCTGAAAAGATTTACTTACACCTTACAGAAGTCTGCCATATTATTACAATAATGGAACTGTTTCATTCCATATTTTAAGATTTTCACAAAAATATAAGACTGTAGTTGATGATGTAACTCAACTGCATCGAAAGGGCATGGTGAAGAGATTTGGGGATGACAGCCTTCTTGAGAATGGAGACATCTTAATTGGCCAACAGGCTTCGGCAGGTATGACTCCAAAAATAGATTTCTGAAAAGTTATAATGCTAGAAAGGAGAAGGGGAAATTGAAGGCAGTGGTGTTCAACAAGAGGCAACGCTCCCTCCTGCAACACAGATAGAGAAGGTGCTAATCAGAGAAATAACATAAAGTCTGATTGTGGAGAAGGAACGAGACGTGGAAATAAAGTCCCCTCACGATGGACAACTATGGTGTAAAGTGAATGCAGACGGCACCACTCCTGGTACTTAATCAAAAGGCCGAGTGGAGTCACTGGAGCCGGCATAAAGTCATGTGTTAGAACAACAGCTGATCTGTATTAGAGAAGATTAACTCGCAGTGCCATGGTGGAGGGCCCAGGATTATTTTATGTACTTCCATTGCCTTACAAGCCGTCAGCACAATTATTGCCCTCCGATCTGAATGAGTGATCTGTAACCACAGCTAAACAGCATGCTGTTTAGGGGCCTAGGAGCTTCATGAAGATGAATTTCCATACCATCAAAGTGCTTTTAATGGGCTCCCTGATCCAACCACAAGGCCTGTTTTGCAAGTATATAGAACTCAGGATGAAGGCTTCCTGTCCAAAAGGATTTGGTTGGTTGTCACTTGACAATTCCCAGCCAGCACAGGGGAGGAGAGGGGGGAGATAGGTAGAGTTGTCTCTGCTTTGGAGGATTAAAAAAAAAAAAGGGTACAGATGCTTGCTGAATGCAACCAACTGCTGTATCCACAGCTGAATTCAATGCGCTTAACAAATAATGGCAATTTAGCCATGCTTGCGAGGAATAGCTTGAGTCACTTTGCATTAGCATCTGGCTGAGTGTTAAACTCATTTCTACATGGGGAGCAGAGAAAAGGAATTTCTGTTCAAGCATCCTTTCAAGAATGTTTAAATATTTGAATATAAATTCCTTTATGCTTGCTATCATTCCTTCTTAAAGCTGTCACTTTGCTTTTCCCCTTCCCTTCTGGTGCTTAGCTAGAAAAATTTTGTGCCCTCCTCGCTGCACCAGTATCGCTCTTCCTGTGCTGCGTGCCTGCCAGGGATGCCTCCCTAACCACACTCTGCTCTCCCCTCCAGAAACAGAGCGGAATTGGAGTCATTTCTCCATCTTTTCGACCCATGTTTGGACCAGAGGAAAAGTACAGTTGTGAGGGGATCACACATAGATTTCACCTCCACTATGCAGATTGTAAGCTTCTTAGGGACTGCACATTAAATTCCATATAAAACCTGGGAAACCAGAAAGCTATCCAATTAGCGATCTGCTCATTCTGGACACTGCTGTTTGTCTCGTGAACTTCCCACGATAGTTAACTTTCAAGTTATTGCTAAATAGCTGATCATTTTTTTCCTCTGATTTACTGTATCTCTTTAGCGACAGGATTGTGAAAACAAGACCCAGTAACATGTTAAAATTTCAATTCAAAAATATCAAATATGACCAAGATAAGTACATCACTCCAAGCATTCTGCAACAACATACTATTTTTCTGAGTAAAATACAATGTAGCTTCAACAAAAGAGTTTGAAATTATTACATCTCAAATAAATTCAGCAGTTTCACTGGGCTTAGGTATAATAATAATGTCCAAGTTTTAAAAAGCATATTTTGTTTTATAATAAAGTCAAAATTTCCAATTGTGCAGTCATCTAAAACTTGACAGCGCTTTGCACTGAAAACATATTATGACAGGCTCAGGATCCTAGTTACTTAGGCTATGAGCATGGGTATCATCCAAGCTTATGCTGATTAAAGAAGATTCAGCATTTTCAAATCCAGCTCATCCCCAAATACAAGTTAAGCATCTCTGTAAAGCAAAACTTTCACTCAGACTCAGATATTTCAAATGCCATTCCATTTTAATGCAAACTGATGGCAGGAAGGGGGATATTAATGTCAATAAGGTTTGGAGATGGATAGAAGAGAATTATAACTCATCTCGTTTCCAGATGGTTTTGATTAGGATGGGCATCAAGATTTCTGTACTCTTGACAGAGAGGGGAAAAGGGAGGGAGAACCCTCATTCTGAGGTGGTGAGAAGAGAGAAAACAAAGGGGAAAAAAAGCATTTAGGCAATTTAAGCATTTTTGGAAAGTCAGTTATTTTATGAACTAACCTTTTCTGTCCGACAGTTATTGAGACCCAGACTATTCACAACAGCCACCTTCCCGTCAAGCACCTGCTGCTCCCGCCGAAGCTGCTCCTTCATCTGCCGAGCCTCTTGGATTGCCTTGGTGACAGCATCATGGTCATTTAAATAACCTGAAGATGTGACAGGACAAAGACTATGTTTGGTAAAAATGCATGGATAGGTTAACCTTTTACCATAAAATTCATGTCTTTTTTGGGGGGGTGGGTAATGGCTAGTGGCTGGCATATAGCACTTTCTCAATTTCATGAGTCTAAAATGAATGAATGAATGAGTAATCAATAATGCCTGATTCATACAGTCATATGTGAACGTGGTGCCAAGCATCTGTAATGCAAACTTAATATTTAAGGCAAATATAGTTGTTCCCATATGCTTGGAAAGAAGCTTAAAATATATATTTTTTCAGTTATCTGAATATTTTGTAGTGCAAAAATAAAACCTATCTTTGATTATTTTTTATGTAAGGCTCATTTGAATGTTACCATCGGATAGAGGTATTGATGATTATTGCTCTAATTATTGACACTCTCATCCTATTGGAAAGGTCAGTTTAGAGTTTGCATATAGCACTATTAGGGTTGTTATATACAGAAAGAATAAATCATTATTAACTAAGTAAAAGAAGATCGTCATCCTCCCCTCCCCCCCAATTCCACCGATGGTGAAGTAAACTACAGGTGGCAGTGATTTGCTATGGATACAAACTTGTAAGAGTTCAGGGGACAAATTTCAAGCACAGAATGGAACCAAGCACCTGTGAATTGTATGATAAGAAACTGTGGCTACTGAAAGCCACAGTCACACTTAATTCACACTCTTAATAAGATGGTCAAATGACCAACTTGCTTCTACAGCTCCACAATCCAAAGTAAAAAAAAAAAAAACTGTCAAAATATTTCTTTTAAAGAATAACAGGTGTAAGGAGCAACACTAATTTTTTTTAACTTAATTTTAACACTGGTCACTTATTTATTTGATGCACATTATTATGATCGTCTGCATGACTTTAGGGTAGAATACTGATGGGAAAAGACTGTTTTGTAAATATTGAAAGGAAAGCTAATATATCATCTTTCACTCTCCCTATCTTTTAAGTAGGGCATAAAATGGCATAAACTGAATCTATAATATGAAATTGCCCAGAAAAGGGACTTGTTTGTGACATGAGGCTAAATCTAACCAGATCCATTGGTGAATTGTGACAGATGGAGGGACTGTGAGACAGAAGGCAGGCACTAATCACACATAAAATGACCGGCTTGCCTCAACATGTTCCATGGATTCCAGCAAACTTTACACCCTAATCCATTTTTAGAACAAAAAACATCTGGGCCATAAATCCTCTAATCTGCCAAAACACGCTATTAAATCCCATGATTTGTTGAAAAACACTAAGATTAAAGAAAGGAAATATAAAATGGCTAACTGCCGTGTTAGGAAAGTGTTATTAATACTCTTTCTTTGTCTCAATTATGAATGTTCTGGTACTAAAGAGCCTTGTCTAATCATGTCAGATTACACATCCTCGCCGTATTGCTAGACTCTTCTATCTGATCTGTTGATTGCCAAAAAACATAGAATATTTTCTTGCTGCTTAAACATTTCTATTGAAGAAGCTGGTGTCAGATCAGTACAGTGCTTCAGTGCCGGAGGGTTTCAAAATGATCCGTGCTTTCCCTACTCCACCCCCACCCCTCCGATATGCACAGGCTAGACATCATCCTCTGATCTCCTTGAAGCAGAAAGATAAGTCCCAGTGTAGGAGACAGCAAGAGGAGCCTTGAGAGCGACTACAGGTTTTGCTTTTCAGAGCTAAATTCATTGGAACGTATTCAAAGAACAAAACATCCTTGCTCATTACGAATACAATATGAATCACGAAAAACTATTTAGACCTAGGTCAAGCCTTTAGGGTTAATGCTTACTTTAAATTATGATTGTTTTTAACCTTCTATTATCCTCAGCATCCTGTCTTGGTTCTCCTGAACAACCTTCTTAATATATTATTCTTGAACTGATTCTGTTCATGTACACTACTACTCTAGAAAGAAATACGGCTCTTATAGGGCAGTGATGGTCTCAGGATATGTTCATTTAGTAAAAGATCTTAACAGGATCAGCCTGATTTTCCTATGCTCTAACCCCTGTTTATGTACAACTTGGCATCATGCATTTTCGCAGTCTATTTAGCTCCTCCAGAGCACAAATACATTTTGAAGTGGTTTGGCACATGGCGTTGAATAAAAGTATGAATTCTTTATGTTTTTAGGTGCTGCCAAGATAACGTTGTGCAGGAAAAATGATTAATATAGATTCAAAAGGGATGCAAATTATATGGGGGTGAATAACTGACAGACATATGTTCCATAATGTCTATTTCCAGTTTGAGGTGTGTGTTCCTATGCAGGTGGAAATAGGCGTCCACTTTAAAATAAACCTTCTTGCTTTTAGAGACTCTTGAATTTTAGTTAAAATGCTCTATGAAATCTAACATTTGTATCTGCTGTGTTAAATTTTAAGGCCATTTATATATTACAGAGTTGAATCATAACAGGATTGTGTGCTGGTTCTTTCCATTTTGTTCTCATCACAGTCACTAAATTACCAATCTTGCTGATTCCCTCTCTCCTGCCAAATGGCTTCAACTCCGATTTTGGAAAGACCGATAAGGCTGAGCTCTCACCTTTCTGCCCCGCCCCCACCCCAACTCCTACCCCATGCTAGTTTCAAATCTGTCTCCATTTCTGCCCATTGTCTCCTCCTGTTTCAGTGAAAATGGTGCCCCTACTTTGATTCAAGGCAAATCCCCTCAACTCATGCTCTAGATTTCTATACGTCTCCATTGGTCATGCTCTTTCACATTTATGTCATCCAGATCTGAACTTCCTCACCATCTCTACCACTTCAATTTGTAAGTACTTAAGTTTCTCCACCTGAGATGAGCAAATAAAGTTTCTCTTTCAACTTTGTGTTGTCTTCTCTTTCCAACTGTCTCTCTTAACCTTCGAAGATTCTTATCATACTCTCCTGTTCCTTCCTCACTCTTCCATTTCTGTTACAATTTTGCTTCTGCTGCCCTTGCTCTTTTAAATCGCCAAATCCAAGGGACACTTGCCATGACTTGCAGAATGACCTCACTGACAATCCCCTCATTATAGAAACTCCTTTCTTCTTTATTTCTCATCATAACATGGGATCCCCTTTCCTCTCTGCCTCTTCCAGCTTCATAGCCTTGCCTGGGATCTGTTCTTCGTCTCCTCCTTAGATTTGGTCCACAGTCACAATCTTCAGAAAAAGCTGGCATTTTGGAGTTGGAAAAGTCTGAATTAAAACCGTAACTTTGCCACTTACCAGCTCTATAAATTGTACATGTTGTTTTACCTTTTAAAATCTCAATTATCTTATTGGTTAAATGGAAATAACATTCACTAGATAAATAAATGAGTTAATACAGTCTTGCATAATAAATGGTCCATGAAAGTTATTCACTGTCAGTTTACTTACAAAAGGGCATAGTGAAATAGATAGGATTTAGGCATTGAATGCAGATGGGTCTGGGTTTCTATTTCTTGGGAAGTGTGATATTTGCCAAATTATAACAATCTCATTGGGTTTCCATTCCCATCAACTGCAAAATGAATGTTAGGTTGATGGAAGAATTAAACAAAATAACACATCTTGTGAAGGAGTAGATAACACTTGGTACCTGAGGAGGCAGCAGAAAATGTTAATTCCTTTCTTTTCTTTTCTCTTTCATTTTCTCTATATGTTCACCCTCAGCAGTCTTATTGTATGGCTTTGACCATAATGATAAAATATGTGAAGGGGTATAATTTCTTATTGGTACAGAGGTTCAAGGAAAGGGAGTCATGCCACACAAACCTCCAAATGATTACTTGATAGATTTTATTCAGCCTGCATTATATATTTAGGCACCAACTGCATCATAAGATAGGATCAGAAGGTGGGTATATGCTTAGGAGAGGTTTGGTGAGCCTCAATCTAAGGAGGGAAGTGCGAAGGCAATGGTCAATATGGCTTCCAGTTAGCACTTCAAATGAGATTTGGGAAATGGAGATTAGGGATCATTAGCATAAGAAATTTGCAAGATTCTGTAACCTTGTTAAATTCACCACAGTTTGATTTTTTATGCCTTGGTGTTTCTTCTTAATCACTACCAACAAAATTCTCAAAATTAAAAAGGCCCCTTTTATATATTTTCAGGGGCAGAAAATAAAGGGACAACCTGGAAATAACCTGTGTTATTTCATTTAACTCTTCCATCAAACTTACATCTGTTCCATTACAAAAATGGTAAATGGTATAATATGGCATCTATTTAAAGTTTATATTTTTAAAGTGGTTTAGTGTTATTAAATTCCATGGTCAGCTTAGGAAACTCATGAGCAATCTTAGGATAAGATTGAAACAGAAAGAGTTCTAGCTGCTCCAGAAGGAAGAAACTGTTAAAAGGTAGAAGGAAAAATGGGAAACCACTTGTAATGGGTTGAATTGTGTCTTTCAAAAAGATATGTCCATGGCCTAAACCTGGTATCTGTAAACGTGACCTTATTTGGAAATAGAGTCTTTGCAGATGTAATTAAGGATCTTGAAATGAGATCACCCTGGATTTCAGGTGGGCCTTAAATTCAGTAACTGGTGTTCTTAGAAAGGAGAGAGGATCTGACACAGAGACACAGGGGAGAAGGCCCTGTGAATATGGAGGCAGAGACTGGAGTTATGCATCAATCCTAAGCCGGGAACACCAAGGACTACCGGTAGCCACAAGGAGCTAGGTGAGAGGCATGGAACAGATTCTTTCCCAGAGCCTCCAGAAGGAACTAACCCTGCTGACACCTTCACTTTGTATTTCTAGCCTCCAAATAGTGAGACAATCAATTTCTAGTTCATGGTAATTTGTTGCAGCAGCCTTAGAAACCAAATACCACAATTGGTCTAAGCCTACGCGAAGAGTCAAGGGGTGATCCTAAGTACTATAAAATATCTGCTGTCTGCCTCAAATCCTTCCTGATTTTTAGATACACATATCTGTCTACCAAGTTTCTGTACTTGAATGTCTCTTAAGTATCTGAAATGCAGCGTATCTAGC